AAAATGGGAGCACATTTTCTTGTTTGTCGCTTTAGAGGGCCTTCGGTTATGACTGCAGTTACAGCTGCAATAACACAATGTGAAAGTAGAATGACTTGTAGCTATTTCTTTGGAATGTTAAACAGATTTATTGTAATATTTTAGCGTGCTCTAGTTAACAAATTTAGTGAAAATCCGTGTTCAGGAGTAGAAAAAGGAAAGTTTCTAACCGTTGAGATGTTGACCGCTCTTACACTTTGATGACTGAGGGGCATTTGTTTCTACCTTCTTTTCAGGAATTTAACGCTGCGGCACGGGATTCCGTTTCTGTGACATCACTCAGAAGTGTCTTATTTTGAAGGCAGAATCTATAGCCATGTGGCAAGCATAGCGGGTAGTCTCTTGTTTCTTTTCACCAGAATGGTACTCATTTCTCTACGCAAGAAAGAAAAAGGCGATTTATCAGACTGGGGCTCGAATTCTGGGCCTCCCACTTGTGAGTCCGACCCTTTGAGGTTAAGCAATTTCCGTCAGCCTTGTTCAGCTTAATTGTCGTTTATAAGATCAGTTTCAGAGATGCGGTGTTTCGTAAGGGTAAAACATTTAGAAAATAGCGTGTTTGCGTGAAAGAACACACTTATTTCCATTTCGGCAGGGCAGCATGGATATTTTTTCATCGTAGAACGCATTAGATCAAGGTCATTCATTTAGCGAAGCAGTGATTCGATTTAAAAAAAGTAGGAATCATTTAAACATGTTAGTGAAGGAATCCGTGATATAACGGTCTAGAAGGACATAATATATGGTAATTGCTCCTCGTCCTATCAAGTAAGTTCAAGCTGATTTGCTATCAACGAGGTTGTTCGACAAGCAGGTCGAAGTTTACAACCACAACTGAATCTTAGTCCGTTCTTTATTCTGTGGCATTAATATGTTAATAAACGTTTTTTCAATCTTACCGCCACTGATGAATTTAAGGGGGCTAGTTGATGAAGAGTTGTTGCTCACATCAAGTTATTTCATGTTTTTCATTCAGTGGCTTTGTACATATTGGCAGTGATTCTTTTTTTATTAATTCTAGTGGTCACCGTTTACAGCACTCTTGGCGAAGCAGCGATAATTCGAGCTGTGAATCAAACTCAGTCAGAAACGGTTGTCACATCAGAACACTTGCTGCCGAAAGTTGCGGTAAGCATTGATGCATCGTGCCCTACATGGCGAATGATGAGCCGTCGTTTAACGGACAAAAATGCTTCGCCGGCTACGATCGATGGTGGCGTTTGGAAATTTTCCTTTTCAGAAGATTTTGTCGAAATGTTCGTCGATTCGTCGTTTGGTCTACTTCGAGAGCGAAAAAGGCTTCTTCGACAGAAGCAGCATTGAACAACTCACTAGACTGCCGTTCATCAGTTTTGCCGAGTTACTGAAAATGGGCGAGTCGAAAGGTAAGATTGTTGAAAAGAGGTACGCGGCTGACAGTGACGGGCTAGCCTGTTGCTCAGCTTGTTGCAGTATAGCGTGATTTCACGCTTCTGTCATCGTCGGGGAAATTCTTTTCTCGGATCCTCTAGAAAAGGCTGAGTGAGGGAGCAGTTAGTGAGAGACTTCGTTCAGTCAAGTAGACTTCTCTACGGAGTACTTCCTCCTCAGATTGAATTTTCCCTTGTCGCAGAATTTAACTACGCAACAAAACCGACAGTTCGAGGAGGCTAAACATCTATCAGAACATGCTCACTGGCTTCTGGCAGCCGGTGGCGTAGCTGCACGAAAACGGTTGCCAAAAATCAACAAAATGGCGACGTAGACAACCATTCATCAGCGGAGCTGTTACCCGTTCTGAACGGAAGAGGCAAACAGATCGATGTCATTATAACAGGTCAGATAAGCCTCCACGGGAATGACACCGACAGTATGAGCTTACAGTCGAAAATTGGAACATTTCCTCAATCAGAGGGAAAGAGCAGGAGCAAGTTGATGGGGACGCAAGGTACCAACTCGACACGTTTATACTCCCATCAGCGAAGAGCCAAGGCTCTGGAATCCTCAGCCTTTGCGGGTGAAAGCTATTCTGCTCAGGTATCGAAATCATTACGCGCACTCAGGCCGGTGTTAGTGTTCTGGTAGAACCCATCCTGATAGTTGAATGGAATCCTCTCAGTGAAAGAGTGGAAATGCTCTGACTGAAGCTACAACCGACCAAAGCGTTGACCTTGTTATTTAGAGGGAGAATATGAGTCCTTCTTTGAGCAAGCTGTCTGTACTCTGGAC